GGGGCTGTGGAGAGAGAGGGGGTGTTAGGGACCAGTATGGACCAGTAGGGATCAGTATGGACCAGTACGGACCAGTATGAGGGCTGTGGAGAGAGAGGGGGCGTTAGGGAGCAGTATGGACCAGTAGGGATCAGTATGGACCAGTATAGACCAGTATGGACCAGTATGGACTGGTGTGGAGCTGTGGAAAGAGAGAGGGGGGTTAGGGACCAGTACGGACCAGTACGGACCAGTACGGACCAGTACGGACCAGTATAGGCTAGTACGGAGCAGTACAGAGCAGTACAGACCAGTATGGACCATTATCGACCAGTACGGACTAGTACGGACCATTACGGACCAGTATGGACCAGTATGGACCAGTATGGGGGCTGTGGAGAGGGAGGAAGCGTTAGGGACCAGTACGGACCAGTACGGACCAGTATGGACCAGTATGGACCAGTATGGACCGGTACAGGGGCTGTGGGGAGGGATGGGGTGTTAGACACCAGTACGGACCAGTACGGACCAGTATGGACTGGTGTGGGGGCTGTGGGGAGAGAGAGGGGGGTTAGGGACCAGTATGGAGCAGTACAGAGCAGTACGGACCAGTACGGACCAGTATGGACCAGTATGGGGGCTGTGGAGAGAGAGGGGGGGTTAGGGACCAGTATGGACCAGTATGGACCAGAACGGACCAGTACGGACCAGTATGGGGGCTGTGGAGAGAGAGGGGGCGTTAGGGACCAGTACAGACCAGTACGGACCAGTACGGACCCGTATGGACCAGTATGGACCAGTACAGACCAGTATGGGGGCTGTGGGGAGAGAGAGGGGGGTTAGAGACCAGTATGGGGGGTGTGGGGGGAGGGGGGGGGGGTAGAGACCAGGACGGACCAGGATGGACCAGTATGGACTGGTGTGGGGGCTGTGGGGAGAGCGAGGGGGGTTAGAGACCAGTACGGACCAGTATGGACCAGTATGGACCAGTATAGACCAGTATAGACCAGTATGGAGCGGTACAGGGGCTGTGGGGAGGAATGGGGTGTTAGACACCAGTACGGACCAGTACGGACCAGGATGGAGTGGTGTGGAGGCTGTGGGGAGAGAGAGGGGGGTTACGGACCAGTATGGAGCAGTATGGACCAGTATAAACCAGTATGGACCAATTTGGACCAGTGACACCCTCCAGACCAGACCCCAGTCCCTCCCAGGACAGCCCAGTAACCCCTCCCAGGCTCCCAGTTTGGACCAGTCGACCCCATTCATTCCCAGTTTGAACCAGTAACGCCTCCCAGTGCTCCCAGTATGGACCAGTACAGCCCAGTAACCCCTCCCAGTGCTCCCAGTACAGCCCAGTAACCCCTCCGAGGCTCCCAGTTTGCACCAGTAACCCCTTCCAGTGCACCCAGTATGGACCAGTAACCCCTCCCAGTGCTCCCAGTATGGACCAGTTGCCCCCCATTCATTCCCATTTGAACCAGTAACCCCTCCCAGTGCTCCCAGTACAGCCCACTAACCCCTCCCAGTGCTCCCAGTATGGACCAGTCGCCCCCCATTCATTCTCAGTTTGAACCACTAACTCTTCCCAGTGCTCCCAGTATGGCCCAGTACAGCCCAGTAACCCCTCCCAGTGCTCCCAATTTGAACCAGTAACCCCTCCCAGTGCTCCCAGTATGGACAAGTAACCCCTCACAGGCTCCCAGTTTGAACCAGTAACCCTCCTCAGTGCTCCTAGTATGGACCAGTAACCCCTCCCAGTGCTCCCGGTACAGCCCAGTAACCCCTCCCAGTGCTCCCAGTATGGCCCAGTTTCCCCTCATTCATTCCCAGTACAGCCCAGTAACCCCTCCCAGTGCTCCCAGTTTGAACCAGTAACACCTCCCAGGCTACCAGTACAACCCAGTAACCCCTCCCAGTGCTCCCAGTGTGGACCAGTAACCCCTCCCAGGCTCCCAGTATGAACCAGTAACTGCTCCCAGTGCTCCCAGTACGGACCAGTAACCCCTCCCAGGCTCCCAGTTTGGACCAGTAACCCCTCACAGGCTCCCAGTTTGAACCAGTAACCCCTCCCAGTGCTCCCAGTACAGACCAGTAACCACTCCCAGTGCTCCCAGTATGGACCAGTCCTTCCCATTACAGCCCAGTAATCCCTCCCAGTGCTCCCAGTCATTCCCAGTATGCCCAGTAACCCACTCCCAGTGCTCCCTGTATGCCCAGTAACCCCCTCCCAATGCTCCCAGTGCTCCCAGTAACCCCCCCTCCCCTCCCAGCGCCCCCCAGTTCCCCCCCGGGGCGCCGGCAGAAAGGGGGGAAAGGGGCGTGGCTTTGGAAAGGAAGGGGCGTGGCCTCGATGAGACCACGCCCCCTTCTTGCACCACACCTGGGCCACGCCCTGGATCACTATTTGGCGGGAGGGGCACCCGAACCCTCTCCCAGTATAAACCAGTACAATCCAGTAAGCCCGGCAGTTCGTGAGCCCCCCTTTCTAGTATAAACCAGTAATCCCAGCAACTCCCGGTGGGTCCCGAGCCACCTTCCCAGTATAAACCAGTAAGCCCGGTGGGTCCCGAGCCCCCTTCCCAGTATAAAGCAGCACAAACCAGTATAAACGGGCACCCCCGGCGAGTCCCGAACGCCCTCCCAGTATAAACCAGTAAAGCACTGGGTGACTACAGGGAGGGTCAATGGCTCAATATTTGGCAGGGGGGTCCCAATAGGATGAATGAATGGCTCATTATTTGGCAGGGGGTCCCTATGAGGTGAATCAATGGCTCACTATTTGGCAGGGGGGATTTGGGGGGTGAATCAATGGCTCACTATCTGGCAGGGGGGTCCCTATAGGGTGAATGAATGGCTCACTATTTGGCAGGGGGTGTGATAGTCAATAAAGACAAAAAGAGATAATTTGCTTATCAAATTATATTTGTAATACTGTAATTGTGAACTGTGATGTTATGTTATCGTGAAGAATTTTATTTCACTATGTTACCTCTAGATGTTAGCTATCTATGTAGAAAGTATTCTCCCTAGCAACTGCAGCAGAACCTGTCAAAGAAGACATAGAGCAGAAGGGAGGCCCCTAACCACCAAGACACCCTTAGCAGACACAATCTGATAAGAGGAAGGAGGGG